CTTTGTTTCCTTAACGGGCCCTTTTTTAAAAAAATTATTTGCTTAATTTTTACGATAACTGTCACTTTGCATTTTAGTATATGGGGTGGTCAATGAATATGTAGGGTGTAATTTTATATGGGGGTCAGTTTTTTAGATGTAATAGTACGTGTTGGACATAATACTAATCTGAAATTATTTGTTTTTGTCAAATAAATAATATCTAGTCTACACCATTACTGGGCAGTTCCAAAACTCGATTGCATGTGTTCATATCAGTTGTTGCCTATTATTACTTTTTTAAGACAACTACCTACATGAAACTAACAGAGTGGCAGGCGAAACTGCAATGGAAAATAATATTGTAACAACATATTTTGCTTTTTAACGACTGCAATATATTAGTTACCAAATTTTTCTATGCCGATGCAGCCAAAAGTTGAACAATGAAAAAGATTTGAATATTTTTAGAAGATTTACATTTTTTACATAATTTATTATTAATTATTATCTAATATTGATCTGCAAATAGGCATACGTTAATAATTGCACTCCTATTATACTGTACTATAAATTGTACATAAAAAATAAATTAATATACTTGCTAATCTGAAGTTTTTAATAAAAAGTATCTATTTATAAGTCCAGACTATATTGACTGTTTTTTTTGCTATCTGCAATTAAATTATATTAATATTAATAATATTAATATTTGTTATGGGTTAGAACAACTTACTCCTATTGAAAAGTCCATACCTACTGAGATAAACCCTCTAAATGTAGTACCCAGAAACGATATTCACATAGCTCAGTAGGTGACAATAAACGTTAATATTTTGATAAAGGTAGGTTGGTCCGAATCATAAAAAAAAAAATAATATACCTAGTTACAAATTTGACAAAACAATGTAATTTTATATGCTTGAAATCTCTTAACTACTATTATACATACATACTATGTATGTATGTATGTATTACATAGTTTACGTACCTCAAAAGGTATCCATCTCCAATCCACCAACACAAAATGTAACAAAAAATTGCTTAAGGTATTTTTAGTGGCGTCTATATTTTAGGTAGAAAATAAAATAAGCCTGTATTCATATTTTCCTATAGCCTGTAGTTATAATAAAAACATTTTTAAAAAAATGTAAAAAATGTCATAACTATTTATGAAAACAAAAATAGAAATATTAAACATTCAGATAATAAAAACTTATTTTTTTTTGTCGCTAAATTATATCAGATACGTCACTTAATAATGCAATAATAATAAATGCAAAACTTGAACTAAAACAGACTAGCAATACCAAAAATAATCTTCCTCCATAGTCCAAACCCTTCCCTCGGCGCGTATCCATTACATTACGTCGATTTAATTTTCCCCCTTATTAGAATTTTAACAGTATTTTAATAGAGCAAACCTTACAAACATTACATCACCGTTCCTAGGAGCGCATTTAAATTTTTCGAGCTATGAATTGCATTACGAGAATGACGGGTTCGTGACTGGTACCAAAGTAATTGAATCTGCGCTTGAAAATGAAAAAGACGTTCATTGTTGTTTTTTCAATTAGTTGTTGACATGGAACAATGCATGTAGGGGGTTACTTTGCCATTATATGGTAGGGTTAACTGTTTGTTACGAAACATAAACTTTTAAATTTACCAAATTGCATGAGCCAAAACGATTCAGTATCAATCGTCAAACAAGGAAATTATAGGATATTTAAGCGTTTTTCAATAAAGAAAAAATTCATACGTTTCACAACATGAAATAACAATAGTAAGTACTAGAATAAAATATATTTGTAATATTTCCTCCGTTTCGATTTTATGTTTACTTTCTCCACTCTGGCTTTTGCATCATATATACATACAGTCGTTCCAACAGATCAGAACTTAATAATAACTAAAAAATATCAAATTCTTAGGGCCTCTACCTCTACCATTGCTTCCTTCGTTCTATAAATTTTTCTGCGGACGCGACGCCCATGTTGTTGTATACCTGGTTGCCTGCCAATTATTTTGTAAAATATTTTAAAAAATGTACCTAATCATTAGGTCATTCAATTAATGTACTGATCGATTAATAAGAAACTAATAACATGTAGTAATAAGGTTATTTCTCCTTGTAAACAATTAACCTGATAAAATACAGGGTGTAGCAGCCATAATATGTTGCAACAAACCTTCAGGATCGTTTCCTCTGATAAAAACAAAAAGATAGTAAGGACTTGCCTTAAAACGATTCTAAAGGCTTTACGCTTTCAAATTTGAACTTGGAACACAAATTTTAATAAATTACTTAATGACTTGAATAAAAGCCAGTCAGATGAATATTTCATTAATTATATACCTACCTCTAACTACCTGACGATGCTTTGAACTTTTATTCGCAAACCATGCATTCTGCAAAAAAACTCGAGCAATACAAAAGTTTTGACTGAAATTGGTCCATATAAATCTGTAAAAAATCTTTTCTAATTTCTACTCTACCGATTGCTTTTTCTTTAACTTTTACATGAGGAATACTGCATCAAATTTAAATTCCATGTTCTCAATAGAATAATTTATCAAAAACTGCGTTTTCTTTCCAAGAGTCGAAAAATTTTGCAGACTTTAGGAACCATTTTGTCAATTGTTTTGAAGAAAGCCCTGAAAAGGTGCCATAGTGCTGTTGTTACACTTTTATTTGACATCATTAATATTCCATTATCTCTACAGCACATGTCAATCAGTGCATTTCTTTTACATGTGTGCATCAAATTTTGTAAATACAACAGTATGCTGATAAAAAAAAATGGAAATTATAAAGGGCATTAATAAAGTACATCCATAAATTGTAAAGGGCAATTCAAGAGTGATTTTAAATGAAAAGTATGAACATCGGTCCACAAATTGATAGTTTTCGAGATACAGGGTATTGAAATTAAAAAAAATCACCCTTTGGAAAATATCTCTGAAGCCGTTTGATGCTGAATGATGAAACTTAGGCTGATGATTTATGTAAGTAAAGATATGTGGTGGAAAAACCAGGATTCACTCTTACTGAAATCCTAGAAATTCGACATCACAGAATTAATGAAAATTGGACGACTCCTTATAGTATTTCCAAAAAAAAAAAATGTGTAGTTTTATTCGATTTTCAGGTCTTTTTAATTTATTTTTAACTTTCATTAATATCAATAGCTTCATTAAACCTAACATAACTGCAGAAGGATTTTTTTCGGAAACACCGTGATAGTAACTTTACCACTGTAATAATTTATCAAAGAAAAAAATATTTTATGCATATAAATACATATAATAATAAACCAAAAGTGTAGCAAAAATAATAATAATACTCTAATACTTAGGGGAGTATTGCCCTTCATCCTGCAACTGATTGCAGTACTAGTACATAATACTGGTTGATATTACTGAGATATTTCCACATTTTTTTAATATTGAAACATAAAAGAGTGACCGCACAAAACCTGTGATTTTCGCCCGTTTTTTCATAATTCGCAGAGAATTACAAAAAATACATAAAAATATTGTAATGTTCTAGCACTTGAGGTTCGTAGGTGTGAATAAAAGTACTCAGTATATAAGGTATTTATCTCTAGGTCGCCGAACAGTTCTTATTTATATACAATAAGGTACACATACACAAATTACATAAAATAAAATCAATCTGACAGTTACTAAAAACAACTCTACTGTCTATATATTTTCCAATGTTAACTATCCTAATTTATATTAATTGCTCCGCTGTAAGTCAGCGAATGACATTTCGTCACAATATGTTTTCTATCACGCGCGCTTGCTATGGGACCTATAGTATAGGGGGTTAGGTGCACGGAAAGTGCTAGATAGTACAACAGCGTTGCGCTATGAAAATAACATCACGCTGTTGTACTATCTAGCACTTTCCGTGCACTTAACCCCCTATGCTATAGGTCCCATAACGACTCGCACTTGTGATAGAAAATAGTATGTGCAACTCGTTCGGAAAAGTTGCCATAGCACCACTTGGGCGCTTTCCGCACTCGCTTCGGTCCTGAGTCAACTGCGTCCGCGTGACACTATTGGCAACTTTTCCCCACTCGTTACACAATGTACTATTGGTCACAAATTACTTGTCGTAAAAAACTGAAATATAGCTACGTATTTTGAAAATTAAAAAAATCACCCCTACTTAGGGGTTGAAAAAATATCAAAAATGAAGAATTTGATTATTACCAATTGATATAATAGCATGTAAATTATCTTCATATCTTTTTTGGAATTTTTAATTATTTCTTATATTCTCCATTTTTGGGGATGATTCCACCTCTTGAGCACGCTTAAGGGTGGATTTTCTAATTCAACATGCTTATTTCAGTCATGAGAAAAATCTTTCTTTGTATCAAAAACATTCGATAGAAAAATTCATATGCTAATAGTTTTTATATTTACTGGTAAGATTCAATTCTTCATTTTGGGCGTCTTTCCAACCCCTAAATAGGCATGATTTTTGAAAATTTTCAAAAAACTAAAAGCTATGCTCATCTTAATTTTTTACGACGAGTAATTTGAGACCAAAAACATATTTTAGTTCTCTGCTGTTGGGATTATGGGTAGAACTAAAACACTTTAATAATTAAAAGATATTGTTTATTCACTTATTCAGAGAGCACATCTATTTGGTATCAAATCAGATTAAAAACTAAAAGTCTTTCCCAAGCCCAGTACTACAATATACCTCCGTATGTTTATAAGCATTTTTAATTTATGGGCAAAGGGCTCTCGAACCTTCAGCTGATAAATATATAAACATATTAAAAGTAGGCAGTATCTAAGGATAGGAATGTTTTTGTATACGTAACTTGAGTATCTTTCAACATCTGCGAATTGTGAAAAAACGTGCGATTTTTGTGGTCACTATGAATAATTTTTTAACTGAAATCATGATATTCAGAGACTTCCCATAAAAACTACAACACCAAAAATTAAAAAGAATTATTATTAATAAATAACAATTAATAAGTTGGTGTTTTAAAAGTTAATTATCTGAAAATAAAATTTTCTTAAAAAACAAAAATACATTTTTACTTTGTTGTTTACTCAAATTGAATGCTTCTTCATACTGTTCCTTGGTGAAAGATCCTTCTGTATGAGACGCTAAGATTCTTTCTTTAACATTTTCAAATACAAATATAAAAGATGCCTTGACGCTGCTATCATTTATTGGTGGTATCAAATGAAATTCATTATCTTCGGTTAAGAAACAACTTACTGCTCCAAACATAAATTTCATATCTATTCCAGAATCCAAACATGATAAACACGCTGCGTTAATAGCACAGGATATTAGCTGAAAAAATATTAAATTATATGTATATTACTTACATCCCTTTACGTCTTCATTAAATTAATCATACTTTATTATAACCGTTGAGTGAGAAATTTCTCACTCAACGGTTATAATAAAGTAACAAGTACAAGGCATAAGGCCATTTGAATTGAAATGTTGGTTAAAATGTAAATTTGAACCAAATATGAAAATTATCTGTACTTCCAGTTGAACTGGAAATGACTGAATCAGTTCAATTTGTTGCCTATTTTGCTGATATTCATGTTGCTAACTCTAATCATAAACGTGTTATATCCAATATAAATAATGTAGAAATTATTTAAATTACTTGACCACTGTTCTCCATTTCTTGTATATTTACTAACACAGCTGATCTTGGAAAGAGAGAAGCCGCTAAAGCAGTCTCACAGATATTCCTTATCAATGATTCATACAATCTATCTTCAACGCCTAAAATATACTTTGTAATATTTTGTAATAAAAAGGTTAAATAAAGACTTACCTGGCAATCCACTTTTTGGTCTGTAACTACATTCCACTGAAGCTTTATCAATCAAAAGTTTTTGCATTTTTACTTCAACTGGCCCATATAGACCTGCTATCACTGTGGTTTGTCCTATAAAAAAATACATTTATTATTTTTGTTGTGTCTATAGAATCATAAAAATAAATATGTTACCTTCAGAAAACATTACTGATCCATCGGGTCGACTCAAAACACCTAGTTTGCAAGAAAAACTAGGTTGCTCCATAATGCAAATATTTTAATTTTTGAAATTTTAGGTTAGGTAAAGGTAAAACTTGTTTACATATCATAGACCTTATTATGGGTAAATCATAGATAGGACAGACGTTGTTTTTGTTCCGACAGAGAACGGTTCAAGACATACTGACAATACCAAACCCTTGGACAATACCTAGGATTGTTTGCTGACATAACCAAAACAAGCTTATAATTTACAAGGTCTACGGGGCAAATAAAAATAAGAAACATTTGGTTTTTATCCGCGAGGTCAGGGAGACTAGACATGCGAGGGTTTGAGACAGGTAGACTAGTCAAGGAGCACGAAGTCATACGGGAAAATTGACAAAATTTGTCCAAGAAATGGCAGAAGTTGGGGTGGCACTAGTGTTCCACGTGTCCCAAATAACCAATTTTATTTTATAATGAGTTGAGTAGATATATCGGGAAGGTATAGATAGTATAACAACCTAAAAAGTAGAAGTCAAGTCAATAATTATTGCAATTTGATTTATTTTGATTTTTTTTGAAGTAGTAAATAAAAACTGCCGCTATTTTTATCACCCCTCTCTAAACGGTACATATGGGACACTAGCGCCCTCTTATTTTGGTAAGATTTTTGTTTACATGGAGTTCGGGGCGGGCTCCTTGTGGTTTGAGAGTTGAGACAGTTTTGTTTTCAGTTAGGACTTTTAGGTCAAATATCTGCTACTTCTTCTTCTTCATATGCCTTGAGCACGGACTAATTTGTTTTTATAAACATTAGCTGCTTTCCAATTGACAAAAATGTACTTCGGAAGCACTTCAGATTAGCTTTTTACGTTCTAATGAGTTGGAGCATTTTACTCCTGTGTTCCTGTTTGTTTTCCTGTCACCTCACACACCACCTTTTACTGATGTGAGCTTTATATTTTCAAATTGTTTTCACTATGTGGAGTTAGGACTTTTTAATATGTTTTATTATGGTTATTTTGTGCCACTGTTCTTTAATAAGAAAAATTTATATTAGGCTTTGGCATTTGGCTCTTAATATTAAAAATAAGTGGTTGAAAATTATTTAAATACGTGATTAACTCGGAGGTGTTCCAATTGTTTAAATTTGGAATATTTAAAGAGTAGAATACTACAAGAACACTTCAGGAGCAGTTCCCTGGCAATTGGAAAGCAGCTTTTAATAATGCAAAGTAGATAAGATATTCTAATACCTTGTTTAAAAAAAAATTAAAAACTAATACAAATAATGCAACAGTATATAATATCAAGTATATTTATACCGAAATTTAAGAACATAGAAATCACTGATTATATAGTGGGACCACATGTAGTACACAAACATCGCCATGTTCTAAGAAAGTAAATTTGGGGACGTGCAAAAAATTTAAATCATCATTTTACAATATTACTGATTTGTGTGTATTTCAACTGTGCAGTAATTAAGCATACAAGCAAAATTGGAAAATTGTATGCTGTACCACAGCTTTTAAAAGTACATATTAATGTAAATAAAAAAGGAATAGTACAAAATAGCAAACACTTTATTTTTCACACGTTTATAAAATTATATTACATATTGTGTATACTAAAAGTATTAAGCAAAATAAATACCTGTTTTAATTTAGTAGTAATAGAAACTAAGAGTTACTTTTCAACCTTTGGTGGCAGGACCAATTCCAATGGCAATAAATGATAAGACAACCACCAAGACAAAACTGGCTGGACAACAGCCACAAATAACAGAAAATATAACCGCCTCTTGTGGCCTGCGCTAGGTTGCTGAGCACCGTAATAACTAGTATCCTGGGCGTTTGTCTCAGATAACACCTGCACCTTGAGACTCCGCACCAAGAAAAATGCCAAAGCTAAATTTGTATATATCAAACACGAATAATAACCAGTCCTTCCTCCAACGAGACTAACTAAAATGCTAAAAATAGTGCCGACGAATTTGTATCCAGCATAAGCCAGCAGATCTAGGGTTCTTAAGCTTGTTTCTACTTGCATTATATAAAGGGTGGAACTGTAAATGGCCAATTCCACTAGACACCAAGCCAGGGCGGATGAAGCTAAAATCCCTATTTGTTCAGGGCTAAATCGCTGTTGTGTACCTAATACTAAACCAGCCACAAGAACGTAAGTAACGTACGCCATCGTTGGGATATATAAGTCAGGGGCGTTGATTTCAAATCTTGGTTGCACCGGGCCATCTTGTTCATATTTCACAGACCAATCCTAAAGATATACAGTCTGGCATTACAAACTATACCCCACGGTCAAAATTATAGAGAGTGACTCATTGCTAGCTTTTGCACTAGTAACGAGGATGAAGCATGCGGGGAACGAAAATCCATTGGCGTGTCTGCATACAAGACAAAAAGATATAGAAAATATGGAAAAAAGATAATAAAACATTATAGATTCTATAGATGGGCGTAGAGAGCGGCACAAAACAAATAATATTGAACCGTTATAAAAATCATTTTATATTTTACACGTGTTATGGTAATAGTGTTTTTATATTGTCCGAGTCACTCTCTATAATTTCGACTGGGAGGTATATATAGGAATATTTCTACAGAGCATGCCAACTATTATTCTGATTTGTATTAGTCATAGATATGTGTAAGATAGTAAAAGATTTAATTGACATAAAAAAAAATTTTCATTCATGTGGATGGCATAATTGTGCAAAGAAGTTTTTCGATCCCAAAATATTGCATTTATTTAATTTCAGTGATATTTCTGATAAAACTAAATTTTTAACATCATTCGCTTTACAAAATTTTTTTAATGGAGTTATTTATTTAAAAATGTTTCCTTCATTGCGGCCAATTAAAAACAGTAACAAAAATGTCACAAATAAAAAAGTAGTTATTTCATCTGGCCGATGAAGATCAGACGCGTAGCAGCAAAGTGTAGGAGGAGTTCGCAGAGTTCATTTCATTTGGGAGTCATAGTGTTATACATAAAAATTAAAGGAGCTCTCTTCAAAGATTTCAAATAAAATTTTAATGAGCAAAGCAGAAAATTAAAAAATAAATACTTGTTTATGTAAATAATAGAGCTCTAATGAATTTAAAGGTAGCAGGTATCAAGAGTTTTACCCATTTTCACTTTCTCTCCTGATTGTACTTTGTTAGGACTTTTAGGTCAAATATCTGCTACTTCTTCTTCATATGCCTTGAGCACGGACTAAATTGTTTTTATAAACATTAGCTGCTTTCCAATTGACAAAAATGTACTTCGGAAGCACTTCAGATTAGCTTTTTACGTTCCAATGAGCTGGAGCATTTTACTCCTAAAGTGTTCCTGTTTGTTTTCCTGTCCCCTCACATACCACCTTTTACTGATGTGAGCTTTATATTTTCAAATTGTTTTCACACTATATGGAGTTAGGACTTTTTAATATGTTTTATTATGGTTATTTTGTGCCACTGTTCTTTNTGTTCCTTGGTGAAAGATCCTTCTGTATGAGACGCTAAGATTCTTTCATTAACATTTTCAAATACAAATATAAAAGATGCCTTGACGCTGCTATCATTTATTGGTGGTATCAAATGAAATTCATTATCTTCGGTTAAGAAACAACTTACTGCTCCAAACATAAATTTCATATCTATTCCAGAATCCAAACATGATAAACACGCTGCGTTAATAGCACAGGATATTAGCTGAAAAAATATTAAATTATATGTATATTACTTACATCCCTTTACGTCTTCATTAAATTAATCATACTTTATTATAACCGTTGAGTGAGAAATTTCTCACTCAACGGTTATAATAAAGTAACAAGTACAAGGCATAAGGCCATTTGAATTGAAATGTTGGTTAAAATGTAAATTTGAACCAAATATGAAAATTATCTGTACTTCCAGTTGAACTGGAAATGACTGAATCAGTTCAATTTGTTGCCTATTTTGCTGATATTCATGTTGCTAACTCTAATCATAAACGTGTTATATCCAATATAAATAATGTAGAAATTATTTAAATTACTTGACCACTGTTCTCCATTTCTTGTATATTTACTAACACAGCTGATCTTGGAAAGAGAGAAGCCGCTAAAGCAGTCTCACAGATATTCCTTATCAATGATTCATACAATCTATCTTCAACGCCTAAAATATACTTTGTAATATTTTGTAATAAAAAGGTTAAATAAAGACTTACCTGGCAATCCACTTTTTGGTCTGTAACTACATTCCACTGAAGCTTTATCAATCAAAAGTTTTTGCATTTTTACTTCAACTGGCCCATATAGACCTGCTATCACTGTGGTTTGTCCTATAAAAAAATACATTTATTATTTTTGTTGTGTCTATAGAATCATAAAAATAAATATGTTACCTTCAGAAAACATTACTGATCCATCGGGTCGACTCAAAACACCTAGTTTGCAAGAAAAACTAGGTTGCTCCATAATGCAAATATTTTAATTTTTGAAATTTTAGGTTAGGTAAAGGTAAAACTTGTTTACATATCATAGACCTTATTATGGGTAAATCATAGATAGGACAGACGTTGTTTTTGTTCCGACAGAGAACGGTTCAAGACATACTGACAATACCAAACCCTTGGACAATACCTAGGATTGTTTGCTGACATAACCAAAACAAGCTTATAATTTACAAGGTCTACGGGGCAAATAAAAATAAGAAACATTTGGTTTTTATCCGCGAGGTCAGGGAGACTAGACATGCGAGGGTTTGAGACAGGTAGACTAGTCAAGGAGCACGAAGTCATACGGGAAAATTGACAAAATTTGTCCAAGAAATGGCAGAAGTTGGGGTGGCACTAGTGTTCCACGTGTCCCAAATAACCAATTTTATTTTATAATGAGTTGAGTAGATATATCGGGAAGGTATAGATAGTATAACAACCTAAAAAGTAGAAGTCAAGTCAATAATTATTGCAATTTGATTTATTTTGATTTTTTTTGAAGTAGTAAATAAAAACTGCCGCTATTTTTATCACCCCTCTCTAAACGGTACATATGGGACACTAGCGCCCTCTTATTTTGGTAAGATTTTTGTTTACATGGAGTTCGGGGCGGGCTCCTTGTGGTTTGAGAGTTGAGACAGTTTTGTTTTCAGTTAGGACTTTTAGGTCAAATATCTGCTACTTCTTCTTCTTCATATGCCTTGAGCACGGACTAATTTGTTTTTATAAACATTAGCTGCTTTCCAATTGACAAAAATGTACTTCGGAAGCACTTCAGATTAGCTTTTTACGTTCTAATGAGTTGGAGCATTTTACTCCTGTGTTCCTGTTTGTTTTCCTGTCACCTCACACACCACCTTTTACTGATGTGAGCTTTATATTTTCAAATTGTTTTCACTATGTGGAGTTAGGACTTTTTAATATGTTTTATTATGGTTATTTTGTGCCACTGTTCTTTAATAAGAAAAATTTATATTAGGCTTTGGCATTTGGCTCTTAATATTAAAAATAAGTGGTTGAAAATTATTTAAATACGTGATTAACTCGGAGGTGTTCCAATTGTTTAAATTTGGAATATTTAAAGAGTAGAATACTACAAGAACACTTCAGGAGCAGTTCCCTGGCAATTGGAAAGCAGCTTTTAATAATGCAAAGTAGATAAGATATTCTAATACCTTGTTTAAAAAAAAATTAAAAACTAATACAAATAATGCAACAGTATATAATATCAAGTATATTTATACCGAAATTTAAGAACATAGAAATCACTGATTATATAGTGGGACCACATGTAGTACACAAACATCGCCATGTTCTAAGAAAGTAAATTTGGGGACGTGCAAAAAATTTAAATCATCATTTTACAATATTACTGATTTGTGTGTATTTCAACTGTGCAGTAATTAAGCATACAAGCAAAATTGGAAAATTGTATGCTGTACCACAGCTTTTAAAAGTACATATTAATGTAAATAAAAAAGGAATAGTACAAAATAGCAAACACTTTATTTTTCACACGTTTATAAAATTATATTACATATTGTGTATACTAAAAGTATTAAGCAAAATAAATACCTGTTTTAATTTAGTAGTAATAGAAACTAAGAGTTACTTTTCAACCTTTGGTGGCAGGACCAATTCCAATGGCAATAAATGATAAGACAACCACCAAGACAAAACTGGCTGGACAACAGCCACAAATAACAGAAAATATAACCGCCTCTTGTGGCCTGCGCTAGGTTGCTGAGCACCGTAATAACTAGTATCCTGGGCGTTTGTCTCAGATAACACCTGCACCTTGAGACTCCGCACCAAGAAAAATGCCAAAGCTAAATTTGTATATATCAAACACGAATAATAACCAGTCCTTCCTCCAACGAGACTAACTAAAATGCTAAAAATAGTGCCGACGAATTTGTATCCAGCATAAGCCAGCAGATCTAGGGTTCTTAAGCTTGTTTCTACTTGCATTATATAAAGGGTGGAACTGTAAATGGCCAATTCCACTAGACACCAAGCCAGGGCGGATGAAGCTAAAATCCCTATTTGTTCAGGGCTAAATCGCTGTTGTGTACCTAATACTAAACCAGCCACAAGAACGTAAGTAACGTACGCCATCGTTGGGATATATAAGTCAGGGGCGTTGATTTCAAATCTTGGTTGCACCGGGCCATCTTGTTCATATTTCACAGACCAATCCTAAAGATATACAGTCTGGCATTACAAACTATACCCCACGGTCAAAATTATAGAGAGTGACTCATTGCTAGCTTTTGCACTAGTAACGAGGATGAAGCATGCGGGGAACGAAAATCCATTGGCGTGTCTGCATACAAGACAAAAAGATATAGAAAATATGGAAAAAAGATAATAAAACATTATAGATTCTATAGATGGGCGTAGAGAGCGGCACAAAACAAATAATATTGAACCGTTATAAAAATCATTTTATATTTTACACGTGTTATGGTAATAGTGTTTTTATATTGTCCGAGTCACTCTCTATAATTTCGACTGGGAGGTATATATAGGAATATTTCTACAGAGCATGCCAACTATTATTCTGATTTGTATTAGTCATAGATATGTGTAAGATAGTAAAAGATTTAATTGACATAAAAAAAAATTTTCATTCATGTGGATGGCATAATTGTGCAAAGAAGTTTTTCGATCCCAAAATATTGCATTTATTTAATTTCAGTGATATTTCTGATAAAACTAAATTTTTAACATCATTCGCTTTACAAAATTTTTTTAATGGAGTTATTTATTTAAAAATGTTTCCTTCATTGCGGCCAATTAAAAACAGTAACAAAAATGTCACAAATAAAAAAGTAGTTATTTCATCTGGCCGATGAAGATCAGACGCGTAGCAGCAAAGTGTAGGAGGAGTTCGCAGAGTTCATTTCATTTGGGAGTCATAGTGTTATACATAAAAATTAAAGGAGCTCTCTTCAAAGATTTCAAATAAAATTTTAATGAGCAAAGCAGAAAATTAAGAAATAAATACTTGTTTATGTAAATAATAGAGCTCTAATGAATTTAAAGGTAGCAGGTATCAAGAGTTTTACCCAATTTCACTTTCTCTCCTGATTGTACTTTAGTACCCACCACTTGATCCTCTGACATATTATAAGAAATGCACACTCTCATATTTGCTCATCTCACCAGACAGATGAAACTGGTAGAACAGTACAAATAATGCTCTATAACTTTTTTAATACAAGTTTTTTGTAGATGTTTTGTTCAAACATTTTATATGGTTAAATAAAAACTAATTATTATTATTACATTATTATTTATAGGGAATGTCTATTCTTCTACGTTTGTCCAAAATAATCTTTTCAATTACTTTTCCATTAAAGTCTGATATTTCTCACACCATTAATTTTTCAATTACTGTTAGTTTGACTTTACAATTTAAACTTTTACTATCCTTTAAAAAACACACAAGAAGCAATACGTAAGTCACAAAATGTTACACCTCCCCTGATCAAATAACGTTTAATAAGAAAAAAAGCCATGAATAATTACTATTTGGTTACAGTGACCATGACCACCACTGTAAACACTTTACAGATGTAGGAGTGAGCAATGCGGAACCCAGGTATTCAGAGTTTTTCAAACGAATTTTGCAAGTCTAGCTAAATTGACTGCTTACTACTTTAACATTTGTGTCTTTTTAAGGGCGATAGCCACTGTGATGGGTTAAACAAAAATTTTTTTGCTTTAATTTAAAGTTTATATCTTCAAAAATATGTGTATAAAATTTTAAGTAAAAATTCCGAAAATTGCCTGAGTGACAGTCATTTTAGTAAGGCAGGTATAGACGCCATAAATCATCGGTGCACTAGGGGCAGACGAAGAATCGTGCGCAAAAGGGCAATAAAATAAAAAACACTGCCAAGGACACCACTGGAGATCTAAAGGAAGAACCATCATATGGCCCAGAATCGATAGTTTGATGTAAGTATAAATATGTTAGTAGATACATGATTTTATAGTAAGAAAAATGGTCCGAAAACTTTAAACGTGTTTTTCTTAAATTATCTAGATAACATTGTAAACTAAATTTTAAATTAATTTTCTTTATTATGAAAATTTCTATTGGGGTATTGGGGGGTGCCACCAAAGAGCCCTCCAGCCGCCACTGTATTTGCTATCCCCAAAATGTAACAAATTGGATATCACTATATATGTTTGGAACTATAGTTAGAATGACACCTAATACGCTTATATTCTTTACCAAGGAAAGGAGGGGGGGGGGGGGGTATTTGAGGTTCCGTTTAGGGTCAAATCGACTGTTTATGACCTATACTTACTGGCAAAAAAATATTTTTTTTTTTTGAAAAAAAGCAAAAGGGGCCGCCCTGCTCCTCTAACAGGCAAAATTTTTATGAACCAAGTTACATTCTTTATAGATTCTCCTCAATAATCAATTGTTTTTCAGTTCCATTAAAAAATTGTATTTGCATTTGAAGAATTCAAGTACTTAATCTTTAAAAAGGCAAAGGTTTACAAGAATTTTATTACTGTCATTTAATAGTGTTCCTCTAACCGTACAAAATATAAAAAAAAATCTACAAAACATTAGAATTATACAGTATTATCTCCAAACAAAATAAAAAATAAACTTGTAAATATCTGACAAACAGTATAAAGCTGAGTAAATGAATAGAGAAAACATTTAATTGGGATCGAAAAATTTCTTTGCCACCAGTTATGAAGATGATTTTTTTTTATTTGTATATTAATATTTTAATTATTGTAATTCACTTTGGATGATTCCATGATACCCATCCAAAGTAACTCATGCAATTGTGCCTTTATTTAGTCATGCACCTTTATAGTTATTAAGAGTTTACCATTAATTATATCCTATTTCGACAACTTACATCTTTTATTATAGAGCAAATTGTCACTAAGTATTTTAAATAAAGATTTAGGTACATACCTTGTGGGTAAATGGGAAAAAGAGCAACACCAATTTTGAAACAACATATTTAGTGTCTACAGCAAAATAATATTTCAGTTTAGAAACAGGAACATATCTTTCCACCTCTTTCTTCAACATCGTTTTACCAGCTCCAGCTAACTAAAACCAAATGTTTATATTTATGGGGATGGCATTTCTATTATCAGTTTTTAAACATTTTTATATTTTGTTCTAATCTTTATAATCAAATCCATTCGGGATAAACAAATCCCAGAGATCAAATCATTCACAAATGATACATTTCTAATACGATCTCAGATTGTAGGTTTCCGAAAAGCCCTAATGTGTCACACATACTTTAGAATAATTATAAATAAAATTGTGCAGGAAAAAATTAGTAAGGAATGATGATAGAAGAAGAATACCTGTTGTCCATATTGCATTGCCATATCTTGAACCATTGGCTGACCCAAAACACCCAAATTTGGAGGTGGCATACCCACTGCATTAGGATTTGGATATTGAGGCTGATTATTATAACTAGCAAAACCTTGTGGTTGTGGTGCTTTTGGGCTAGTTGGGAAATTTTGTTGAGCTTCATATGGAGAATTACTTGGGAAACCTAAAATCAAATGATATTTTCAAAATGTGAGAAAAATATTTTTGATATTCTAAACAAAGTCTATCACTACTGTATAGCAAGATATTTCCTTGTATTCTGCACACAACACTAGTTTTCAGTTAATTTTAATCTTTATCGCAGTGTAAAGATTAAAACAATAATACAAATTTTATTGAAGACCAATATTAACCTTACCTTGCTGAAAAGTATGGTCAGGCTCTAAATTTGGGTATACGTTTTGTTGAGGATTAATGTTTCCTTGGTCAAATGGTGTATAACCCATCGCATTAACATCGCTAACCCTTTTTATTTTCTTTCCAAATGCTGAAAACAAATGGAATTTTAAGGTTATATTACCAAGTCGTTATAAATAATTGAGGTTTAATACTAACAAGGTCTTCCTCCTGTGTTTGCGTTGTAATTCATTTTGAATGGTATCTATTTAAACTCATTTAAAATACAAACTCCCTTTATTCTTTTTAATAAACCATTATTACTTTCGACACGTCACTTTTCACCCATCATCTTAAAAATACAAAACTGACATGACATCGTGAAAGTAGTTACATATGTCAGATTTATTCCTTGAATAAAATGCGATTGCAATGAAAACTGTTTCTATAGTGCTCTAGCAACAAACCTATTACTTTCTTTTTATTGATCCGAAGCATCTGATCTGAACACATCTGAACAGTACTGAGCACCGTCACACACGAGGTTGGCATCATAAAGGTAAGTCCTCACAAACGCGTTTTGCGGCAAAAAGAATAAAAACATATTTTTAATTCCCGCCTTCCAAAATTCAAAATAAAATTAACCAATCAGATGATCACCGCAAAAAAATAAAACGTAAACGCATCCATGAGTCCTTACTTACCTTAGTTCAGAATTTTTAAATTTAAAACAAGACGATTTGTGTTTTGAAACAAGAAAATATAATTTAAGTAATGAATTCCTACACAGACAACATAATACATATAATCAACATATTGAAATTGCTAGAATAAAATGTGATACAAATATTTAATTTATTTCTTACAATTTAAACTAAAAAAGTATGTGCTTGGAGACATTGATTACAGTAGATAGAACTGTAAGCTTTAAGTATATTTTTCGATCTAGTACATTAGAAATAGATTGTCGTTATAGCCATACCAAACGATCAATATTATATCTTGACAAATACATTTTTTTTTTCTTGGAAACTACTATAACCGAACTAACGAATAATTAAATAATGAGGATGCCGTATATTCAATGTCTCACTCAAATGTAAGATAATATTTTAGTTACGTATTGCACATATAATAACAGGTGTCGAACTCTGGAATTTTTTCTGTAAGAAACATTTCCCTATTTTGGTCCCGCTAGAAACAACTTTTAGACCCCTATCAGATTATTACAAATTTTTCCATCAAATTTGTTTGATGAAACTAATATGATGAATGAATATGACATCAAAATTAGCTATTATAACAGTATTAAATTGCTTTGATCAAACTAATGATTTATTCAAATTAGTAAAATAATAAAAATGAAAATTACTCAATAGGATTGGTTAATTTTTTCGAGAAATAATTTATTATCTACATTTCTTTACTTTTTATTAGAAAATAGAGAACCATATATATTTCTTCAAAATCAACATGTTTAGTTTTGCAAACTGAATCAAAATAAGTAAGTAATAATTAAAATCATTAATGAGCTAACCAAATTTTGAGCCACCGTGTAAAAATTCTTAACAGATTCAGTATAGGGTGTCCGAAAAATAGTTGACAGACACATAGTTGTGTAAAGAGAGTGGAATTCTGATATGAAAAGTCTTTTGACGTTTTTTTGTCTGACGCAGATTTAATTATAATTAGGAACTAAATAGGATACCCAATCAGGAGTACGGTTTAAGAGATCACGCTGTCGCGAAATTCCGCTCACCGCTTTACTGATCCTACCATGTTTTCTACCACTCGGCATTCCCTTAGAGCATACTCCTGGTTGGGTACCTTATTTAATTCCTAATTAAGGGTGCATCAGACAAAAAATGCTAAAGGACTTTTCGTCTCAGAATTCCACCTTCTACCCCTATGTGCCTGTCAACTATTTTTGGGACACCCGCGCTGGTACACATAACAATTTTCAGTTATTGTATGAATTTTCCAAGATAACTGCATCGAGCAATTTTTTCTCATTGCACATAAAAACATAAAATATAGAGTATCCAATCAAAAACATAAAAAGGTATTGTATATTAGTTACACCCTATATAATTAAAATAAAATTTAACTTTTATAACTGGAAACTATTTTTTTTATTTATATGAATATTTATTATAAAATAACACACCTGTTAATTGTAATAACAAACCTATTTATTAAAAAATACAATAAAATAATGATCAAGTTAAATATATATGACATAAAACTAAAAATATAAGTCTCTCACAGAGTTCAAAACAAAATAGCCATTGAAAGTGCAATTGAATTCAAACAGCCAAAACCTAAAAGACTTGTAGACTTCTATTCAGTGACCATCTTGTAAGTCCTACTGACTTTACAATGACCTTTCCAAAAAATTGTTTTTCAAATACCTAGAATGTAACAAAGGCACTAATTTACAATTTTGATTTCTTAAGTTTTCTTAGGCATCCAATATTCCAAAATAAAAGAAACATCCCTAAGATTTGGAGGGCATATCTTAACAGCTATAATTGGATTTAATATCGCAAACAAATTATTGATGTAAATGCTACGATATATTTAAGAAAGCAGATCATATATTTAGTTATCGGTTAAATAAAAGATTAATGTTATTAAAAATTAACATCAATTTTAACCCTAAGATTATCTATTTATTTTCAAACAGCATACTTGTCAACAAGAATTTTAATGTACTAAAATTTATGTAGGTATTTCAAATAATAGAAGGAAACACTATCATATTACTTTTATTATCCCAATGCTTCCTCAGCTTTTTAATGCTAAAATGTAAAATAATTATTTATTCCGCATTTTCATTAATAACTCAAATCTTCTGTTGGACCTTACTCCTTGAATAACATTTCTTCTTTCTTCTAATGTATTTTTCATTATTTTGGATTTTGCTGCCACCGCTTTTACTTGTTCTTCTTTAGAGGCTTTTTTAATATTCACTGAACCTACTTTGAAACCGAACCGTGTAAAGCCTTTTTCCTCAGCAATAACTGCCTTTGGTTTTGGTAATTGTGATTTAGCCTTTAAGAGTTCCTTCTTTTTCCCTAGGGGATTTAATTTATTTTCTTTATTCGCCACTTTTAGATTTGATTTTGATGGAGACAAGTTATTAATTTTAGTAACTGAAATATTCGGTTTATTATTTCGGCTTCTGTTAACATTCTTCGTTTCATTGGATGGCGAAGATTTTAAATGGACTGGACTAAATTTCAATTCCTTTCTTTTGGTGGAAGCTTTTGGGATATTTTCATCTGGCGGCTTGCGTCCTGATAACAGTAACTTTGCTCTGGTGGCTTTCCTTTCACTCATTTCTTTAATATTTTCCAATTTATCATAAGCTCTTTGATGTATTAGAGCAAAATTAGGTATTTTAGTTCGAACTGCAGGTAAAGGTTTCTGGATATGCACTGTACAATTTTTGCTATCATCCTCCACCATTTTCTGTTTATTTTTTAATAAAGCTTGTCTCAATAACATACTTTTACCTTTAGAATAAGGTGTACTACTACTGGAAGGCATTATAGGACTACATTTTCGGTCAAAGCTTTGTCTAGGTGCACTTACTTCCAAATTACTTAAAATTTTATCGTCACTTTCTTGCCAAGGTGCAGATATGTTCGATATATTTAGCGAATTATTTGGAAATGAAACAATTTCTTTATGCATATCTACATTTAAATTGCTCAAATTTTTAAGTGAATTATTTTCTTGCAGCAGTGTAGAAATGTTTCCCATATCATGCGAATTATTTAAAAATGAAATGCTTTGTCGCGATTTATCCCAACGTCTCCTCTTGTTTACTTTTGAGGTGTCCAGGATCTTAGAGTAGGAAGTGTTGGATGGTAATGGAGAATAGTTCAAATCTGGAGATAGATTTTGTGATTCTTTTATAGTTTCATCATCTTTAATAAATGTGGCAGTTCTAACTAAACTGGGCACAAATGAAATATTGGTTAAAGTTTCATTATCATCCTTAAGTTGAGCTGACTGGGTACTAAAAGATTCCTCATCATCCTTGGAAAATGTTGCCTCCCTATTTAACTGTACTGAAATATCATTTAAACCATTAGTATTTAATTTTTCACTGGTAGGGACAACACCTGGTTCTATTTTTTTTAATGGCACAGGGGTTGTTAAATCGATAATTGAATTGAAAATATTATCTTCTTTTTCATTTGTAGAATTTCTTAAGCTTTTGTTTCTGGGAGATAATAATTCGCTGCTACTTTTTCTCTTTGGCGATTTTAAAGTATTGGCCTTAGAATATTTATAAGACATATTTTGTTTGTTTAATGAATTATTAATAATTGAAACTTCATTTTGAGATACATTCTCATACGAATTGGTTTGATTTATAATTTTTGGTGAAGTGATTTCAAAAGTTTTATTTCCCTTAGTAGTTGAGAGTCCATCCGACAAACTGTTAGTATGGGTACCGTCATCGTTGTCACTTTTATATGGTGTCATGGTCATATTTTCTGTAGTTAGTTTTGACAAAATTAAGGTCTCTCTTCGAATATTTTTTCCCGGAGACTGGAAACGCACAGATTTTCTAGAGGACTTCCTTCCATTTATGGTGGCATTATTATTTGAAAATGTCTCATTTTTAAAACCTTCATCAATAAATTTGTTTTCAAGCGTATTATTAAAAACATCATCATCATCAGAATCAAAGTCCACGTCAAAACTGACATTCACAGTTAGGGTGCTGCTTCTGATAGTGCTCTTCTTGTTTTTCATTTTTATAGATTCCTGGCCTGACAGGAAATTTTCTAAGTTTGTTCTGCTCCGTCTTTTGCTGACTGACAGTTTTTCTTGCGTTTTAGGATAAGGGGTAGAATTTATTTTACGTGACAGTCTTGCTGTGGCAGACTGTTTCCCAATTCCTCCCTGATCATCCATACAAATTGTTGATTTATCAACTTTTGGAGTCACTTGAACTTTTATTTGTTTTGTACTTATTTTCTTGTTTTGTTCCAATTTCCTGTCAGATGCAGGCGTTGATAGGACTGATGAATTACTAGTATTATTGCTCTGAGATTCCCTTATTAAGGTATCACTTAACAGCTTTCTTATTCTTTTAGCATACCTTTCAGCTGTGTTCATTTTTTCCGTTTCAATATTAACATTAATATTACTTGCACTATGCTTCTTTTTCTTTAATTTCGGGCTCTTATCTTTTATTACAAATTCTTCATCTGAATCTTCATCGGTACTAAAGCCTTTTTCAATGTTTTGTTCAGACTGTGATTGACTAAAGCTTGATAAACCTAAATTTTCATTACTTCCATTAGAGTCATCTTCCTTCATTTTATCGGTAATAGTTCGAGTTTCCATACTTGGATTTTCAGATGTTTTATTTCCATCAGTGTGTTTCCTAGACTTCTTAAACTTTTTCTTTTGTATATGTTCATTAGAAAATTTTTGCGAATTTGCAGAAAAATAATCAGCTACTTGGGATATTCTTGGTAAATTATATACTTTCTTGGACTTTTTAGTCTTTTTGGCACTGTTTTTTGTTGATTCCTCAGAATCCTGTGATGTGACACTACTGTTAAGACGGTTAAAGTCTTGAGTACTTCTAATCTTTTTTTTACGAAACCTCTTTTCTGAATTTATGTCCACTTTGAGAGGAGATATGCCAAGTGTTTCACATTTAAAGTCAGTTACTGAGCAAGAGCCTGATTTGCTTTTTCGGTCGCTACCTAATGTCAAGGATTTTGAATGTTTTAAAGGCGTTTCATCATTGCATTTTTTTCGTAACTTTAACCGGCGTTCTATTTTGGTTGACATCTGGAAATAAAGGAACTAGAAATATTATTTCTACAAACAAATAGTTACTTACTTCTGGTTTTTACTATGTAATGTTTCTGCTTTCTGTAAAGAATAAGAATTCTGTTTCTAAAAGCATATACACTACAAATACTCTTTTTTCTTGTCACTTTTTGTATTCACAGAAGTTAAGAGGTGGAAATGTATTTAAAATAATAAACTCGTTTGACAGTATTGACAGTTTGAACATAGGCACAATCTATTGGTGACAGTATTTAAAAACAATACAAAGTGCAATTCTATTGGCTCCGTAATCTTCCATGCCATTAATATATTTTAACGGTTTTCAGGCATGTTTTAGTGAAGATGATGGAAAACTGTGAATGTGAATGTATATTTAGGCTGCGATAAGCGAACGGTCGCTGGTTGGACCTGCCATCCTGTCAAAGTCATTAAATAAATGCATATGAGTAAATAAAATAAATATACTCATGTGAGTAAATGGTAAAAAGACTTAGTTTGACTGATCACCTAACTGGACGAGTTGGTCGGTTTGATTGTTAAACTTTTGCAGCTAAAGTTGTTAAGCCATATTAGTGATCAGATAAATTTCATATCAACATAATCTTTTATCTTTTTAAAATTAGGATTGGTTTTGTACTCATTTTTGTTTGGTGTTTTAAAGTAGAGTATACAATTGGTTTCAGTTTTCTTGCTTCTCTCTATAATGCTATTTTTCTGCACATTTTACTAATATATTTCTAAATTTAACATGCAAAACCTGATGACTATTTGAAAAAATATAAATAGAAAATTATATAATCAGGGGCTTGATTTTTGAAAACAGGAGAACTGATTCTCCAGAGAAAAAATTCACCTGACAAATTTCTCTTAAAAACTTAAATACTTATTTTTGAACGTTGAAGGAATCCAATTCTCTAGAGAATTTAATTTATGCCGTATGTCGAGGATATATTTGCAACTGACCAATCAGCGGGCAGAAATTTCTTCAATATTTCAGTGCCATTATTGGCGACCCTGATGTTTAGTCACTTGATTTGATTTTGAAGTTTGTTTTGTAAATGTCATTGTCATTATATTCGTCAGGGAGATTAGACATCTCCATGATATTCGTAGTAATTTAATATAACTTCAATTTGAATAGAAGTATATTTGAAAACACAAAAAATTTAATATTATTATAATTATGATGAAGCGTTCGTGCACGTCGAAAGCGCAAAAAAGAAATTAATATGCTTAGAAACAACGAAGAACTTTTTAAAATGAAAGTTTTTTTCTACTTTTACTCACAAAAAGGCTCAAGAACAGTGGTCATATATTGCTGAAACTTTAAATGGTTTAACTAATGTTGTCGCGGATGGTTTACAATTTCTGCAGCTTGCAAATTATTCATTATATTTAGAATTAATAATAAATTATTTGGATCCATTACAAATTTCAAATTTCAAATGATTACGCACCTTCGAACAGCGAATGAATGAAGTGACTTTTCGCGCATGAGCATGAGATGACATTTGGATTCAAACTATTCGGAGAAAACGCCAATTCCCCCGACAAAACCCTGTGGAATTATTTCTCTTGATATCTAGAGAAAATATTCCACAAGAAAATTTCAAAAATCACATTATCTGCGTGTCAAGAGAAAATGACGTAATTTTCTCTAATGAACTAATTCTCCTGTTTTCAAAAATCAAGCCCCAGGGGTAACGATTTCCACAACATTTTTATTGTTTTATAGGTGGTGTCAGGATAGACCAGATTGAATTGACTTAAATTGAAGAATTAAAGAGATGAAATGGTATTAAAATTTGTGTTAATCATATTCTCGAAAAGTAAAAAAACTCCTATTCCACCATTGATTTCTAACGCTTCCACTATAGTCGCCCGTGACAGTTTTGAGATTAACATATCTATTTTTTCTCTGTTTGCTATACTCATTTTTATGTAAAATGTCTCAAACTAAAGTCGTTCTTACAGCACAAAATCTACAATTAGTCCACAATCGTGCCAACATAATAAAAACAGTTTGTAAATTGTCACAAATTTATTGCCGAAACAAACCTATTATTTAGTTTCCATTTACGCCTGTTGTAGTGTCAAGGTCGGGAGACAGGGAGCACGCCGCCATTATTCTATGGCTAGAAATTGGCCTCAATGATTTGGGATCGAGGGGGATTATCCCTCTTTATCCTGCCTCATCTCGTGTAGGCCTGGACAGCCTTCGTAGGTGGGCCCCATCCGTCGTCTACCCCGACCGCAAATGCGGCCGGTGTAGGCGCTTTGTGGGACCTCCTTTTGTCCTGGCTGGGCCCCGCCGGCTAGGGCCCTTTCTTCTGGCGCTCTTCTTGCTTCGCCGGCTCGTCTGTGTAAACCCCGGGGGTAGTGTCATGTTTATGTGTGGTATGGTTGGGTAGGGTAGTGCGGCTATGCAGCCTGGGATGCGCTTTGCTAAGGTGGCCCTTAGGCTAGCGCGGGAGGGGAGGGTTAAGGAGGGTATGGGGGGTGTGTGTGTGTGTGTGTGTGTGTGTCGTTGTCTTCGTTTCTTGATCCTGGCTGTCTCTGAAACAGAAAAGGTTAGCGGGCAGGGGGGGGGTCATTGGGGTGGTCACCCAGGGTCAAAAAGTTGGTGTCTAGGTCTTTTGTGTTTGTCGGTCACGTCGGGTACGTAGTCAACGGCTTGCCTGAGGAGGGGATTGTCATGTCTAGCGGCTACGTCAAATCGTTTCTCCGCGTTTTGTCTTATTGTCTGTGTAGCGTTTGTGTATTGTAAGTCTCGTAATATGTCAGTGTTTCTTACGTACCAGGGCGCGTCGGTGGCCGTGCGGAGGGCTATGTTTTCCACAGCCTGTAATGACTTTAAGTGGCTTTTTGCCGCGTGACCCCACGCCGTGGAGGCGTAGGTTAGCTGCGGTTGAAGTACCACCTTGATAAGCGTTCGCTTATTCCTTAAACTGAGGGTGTTTCCACCTTTGAGTAAGGGATAGAGCCTAGCCCTGGTGGTCTTCGCTCGCGCCACCGTCTCCACGATGTGCGGTTTCCACGTGAGACGCTGGTCCATCGTCACGCCCAGGTATCGTGTTTGTCGATTCCAGGAGATGGGTTCCTGGGATAGTGTCAGTCTGTCAAGGTTTTGTGGGATTTTTCGTTTGGTAAAAAGGATAGCCGAACTTTTGTTGGGATTAATTTTGACTTTCCACCTGTTGCACCAGGTTTCAAGTTGGTCTAAGGAGCTTTGGAGGAGGTAGACGGAATATCTAGGATCTACGGATTGGGATGTGATTGTCAGGTCGTCGGCGTATAAGTATATGTTGGTGTTGGGGGGATGTGGGATGTCGGAGTTGTAAATGGTGTATAGGTGTGGGGACAGGACGGTGCCCTGGGGGACACCGGCCTCCATGGGACGGGTGGTGGAAAGGGAATCTTGGATTTGGATGCGGAATTTTCGGTGGTGTAGGTAGGATTTTATGAGTTTGGTAAAGGATATGGGATATTGGTTGGTGAGCATTTTCATCAGTAGGCCTTCATGCCAAACCGTATCGAAGGCCTTTGCGACGTCCAGGAAGACAGCACCAGTGTACTGTCCCCTGTTGAAGGCCGCCGTGATGTGCTCGGTAAGGCGAAGGATTTGGAGTTCAGTGGAGTGATTGGGTCGGAAGGCGAACTGCTCGTCTGGAATGACTTGCAGTTCTTGGGAGTGGGTTCTTAGACGGGTTAGGATAATTTTTTCTACCACTTTGCTCATAGCCGGGAGCAGGCTAATGGGCCGGTAGTTGGATGGGATGGTGTGATCTTTGTTGGGTTTTGGGATAAGGATTATGTTTGCTGTTTTCCAGCGGGTAGGGAAGTGTCTTAGTCTGAGTGTCGCGTTTGTTATGTTTAGTAGGGCCATGAGGCCCTTGTGTGGTAGTCGTTTAAGTGTCGTGTTATGTATATTGTCGGGTCCGGGGGGACAGGGAGCATGAGCGCAGGACATAAAATATGATTATGCGTTATTTTTATTTACTAACCAATAATCTGTTCTGTTTGTGTGTCTGTCAAGGATTTTAAAATCCTTGTGTGTCTGTGACTCTTTTTCTTTTATCTATGCTGTGAGCGGTGATGAGGTGATCGGATCGGGAGTTGAGCAAAGTAGCAAAGTCCAAGTTTTCCTGTTAGTAATCTGTATTCTGTAATCTGTGGTCCAAGTTATAGAATTATTTTATGATATAGTGCTCCTCTTTGTAAAAGAACTTTTGCAAATTTAAATACAAACAAACTTTATTTTAATTATTTTACCAAACCAAATTAATCAAATGTCCCGAGTACTTGTAGGAGTGAAAAGAGTAATTGATTATGCCGTTAAGGTAAAATATTTTTCTTAAACATTGGTCCAAAGGTTATCTTGAAATTTGAATGTTCTTGCAGATTAGAGTAAAACCAGACAAAACTGGCGTTGTAACAGATGGAATCAAGCATTCTATGAATCCGTTCGACGAAATAGCTGTAGAAGAAGCTGTTCGATTAAAAGAGAAAAAGTTAGCATCTGAAATCATTGCTGTATCATGTGGGCCCCCGCAAGCTCAAGAGGTAATACGTACGGCTCTTGCTATGGGAGTCGACAAAGGAATTCATGTGGAAGTTGCAGGTGCCGAATATGAAACATTACAGCCTATACACATATCCAAAATCTTGGCGAAAATTGCGCAGGATGAAAAAGCAGACATAATTATTGTCGGAAAGCAGGTTTGTTTAAATTTACATATGTATATTTGTACACATACAACAGAGTAAATGTATTTTGTAGGCTATCGATGATGATTGCAATCAAACTGCACAGATGACAGCTGCTGTATTAGATTGGCCGCAGGCAACTTTTGCTTCAAAAGTAAGTAGTTGACTTAGTAAATATCATTAGCCGGTATCTAAATTTATTGAAATATAATAGTGTACAAAATCAATATAAATTGTAGATAGAAAAAGGGGACAAAGATATAACTGTAACTAGAGAAGTAGATGGAGGGCTGGAAACTATAAAATGCAAATTACCTGCCGTTATTAGTGCAGATTTACGTTTGAATGAACCTCGTTATGCTACTCTTCCAAATATTATGGTAAGCCATTTTTTGCACATTATTTTAAATTTAATGTTAATATCCGCCTAACCAATAATTATTTGAATGTTTTTTTCTTACTGATAGGTCTTACATGTATTATTTTCTTTTTTATAAAACATAGAAAGCTAAGAAGAAACCGATTAAAAAAGTTACACCAAAAGATTTGGGAGTAGATGTAACGCCAAGAATCCAAGTTTTGAGCGTGGAAGATCCACCAACTCGGCAGGCTGGTGTTATTCTACCCGATGTTGATGCGCTCGTTACCAAACTGAAAGAAGGAGGTCATGTATAAAGTATGCGATCCTCATAAAACGAAGGAAAATAGTTAACAAGTTTTAATATATTAAGTAAAAGAAGCTTTTGAAGTGAATATATTTTATATAATTGAAAAACTTGATTGTTGATATTTTTGTACTGTGAATTTATCTTTGTTAATATATCATGTTTGAGACTATACTGCTTTTAAATATTTTAAGACCCTTTATTTTCTGAATTTTTGACTGTGTCAGATGAATTGGAGTCGTTATAGCGGTTTACATATACAGGGTATCCGTTAAAGAATGGGCCAAACTGTATAGTGTGATTCACTATATTTTAACCCCTCCCCCACTAACTTTTTTGTTTTTAGAGTTATAAAAAAATGTGAAATACGAAAGTTGCACGATTTTTTAAAAATTTTTTGAAAATGGTAAAGAAACAAATTGAACTTCAAACAAAGTGGCCGCGGATGTTAACTTTGTTAATTTAAATGGAACACCATGTATATTTTTAAATATTTTGATAAAACGTTCTCTGTCGAGAATGGTCATATAGGGTTTGTTGGTCTAACAATAAGCGAGATACCATTAAAAAAAGAAAGGAAGATTTTTTATAAAGAAAATAAGATCTTGTAATTTATTATTTTTATTAATTATTTCAGTTTTAAAGATATTGACTTGAAATTTGAAAAACACTGGAGGGATAAATGTGCATTTTTTGAGGTGATTGAATATTTCTACTTGCATTAAAATAAAAGATTAACAAAACCTACAATAAAATACGTTTTATTTTTTTTTTTAAAAAACGGTGCATCCTATGAAAAAAATTGATGGGACCAATTTCATTCAGAATTGATAGCAGATTTCTAAAAAAATATCAAAACAGAAAAAAGTCAGTGGCATAAGTTTTTTTTCTCACGAATGCTACTGGTACAAGTAGAAATATTCAGATCACCCCAAAAAATGCACATTATCCCTCCAAAGCGTTTTTCAATATCTTTAAAACTCTGAAATAATTAATAAATACAATATTAAAATTTAAACACTGTATCTCGGATATGAAGCATATTTCGACCTACGTATATGATCTTTTTTTCATAAAATAACTTCGGCAACCACCCCCTAAAATATTTCGTACTTATTTACAAACACCCTGTATATCAATACATATTTTATACCTATATGACTATGCTCAACAGAGAATGTTCTATCCAAATATGTAAAAATATACAGGGTGTTCCAAAGTTAATATCCGCGACCATTTTGTTTGGACTTCATTTGTTTTTCAAATATCATTTTCAAAAAATTCATAAAAAATAGTGCAACTTTTGTATTTTACAATTTTTAATAACTTAAAAGAGGGGTCAAAATATAGTGAATCACCCTGTACCACTCGATTCTACGAAGAAAATTAATGGGGAAAAGTCATATACAATGTTGCTCATAAACGCTTAGTTTTTGAAATACAGGGTGTTGAAGTTGAAAAAATAAAAACTATTTTCAGGCATATCTCGGAGATACATTAAGGGATTTTTTTAATGATATTCAACAAGTGCTGAAAAATCATTGAAAATTTGAAAAATGTTATTTATTTGCGCTTTACGCAGTGGCGTTATATTTATTTTTTAGAAAAGGGTCTCGAAAATATAGTTTGCACACCACTGGTTTTTTATATTGACATGAAATCGCAGCCAATGATGACATACCCTATTAAAACTCATATTAAATTAGAAAATAATCCCTTAATGTTTTATAATCCAGTACTTTAACTCTGTATCTCAATTAATAACAGAAAATGTGACATAAATCGATGAACAAATTGTTAAAAAAATGTGTGGTTACATTCCGATTCAGGCAGACATTCTATATTTTAGTTGGCACACCTTACAGGATATTTCAAATTCAAATTTCCAGAAAAAAAATTGTTTTCTTTTGAACCATGCAGATACCAACAACTCAAAACTTTAATAATTACTTTACTTAAGAAAAAAAAAATAGATTAGCTATTCACAAGAAAATCAACTTTGAATTTTTGACGCCTGTAAACACAAAGCGCATTAAAAAAATATAATTGAAAATTGGAAAGTATGGGAAAAGGAACACCGGAAAGGAAATTATTAAAAAGTAAACCCAGTAAGTAAATTAACAGAATATTATATTATTTTTAACTCCTATTACGATATGCAGCAAAATATAGCAAAAATAAGTTATACAGCTCAGGCTTTCTTTGGTAATTCTGGAAATTATTGGATTTGATAAACATACTATGGATGGACTTGTAGACATTAATCATTAATTTAACAAAATCTTCCAATCAAATCTCTGGTTGGCTGAATGTGTGAGAGGAAGAGAAGGTGGTTCTACAATTTCCCATTTTCCATCGACGGATGTCAATTGGACTAGACCACAGTATGGAATTTTTTGGATGATTTTTGTCATTTCAGTGGCTGACCTTGGTTTTCGTCCAATCAGTTCATGTGAACAAGTCTCTAAGGTCGCCGAATGACCTACTATCAATATATTTCCAGAAGTTGAAGACAAAGCCCCTAACAGTACCAGTATATTAATATGTATATTTAATTATAAATATACAAAGAAAATTAAATTAGTAAATAGTATACCGCTTTAGAAGGTATAAAATTGAAAGTTTCAACAAACAATTCTCTACACAGTTGGACCAGTTAGCAAGAACTAGGATATATAGGGTGTTTTGTTTAAAATTCCTCAGATTGATATCTTGTAAACCAATTGAAGTCGAGTATATTCAAAAATTTAAAGGATTGCCTACTTGTGTCGATCTGCTAGGAGGTTGTAAAACAACAGTTCACACCACTTAATTGTATTTCAAGAATTTATTTCGATTTAGCTATGTACTGAGAGAAAGCTTTTTATCCGCACAGAAAATTAGTTCATTAAATCTCCATAACTAAAAAACTAAATTCATTTTAAAGATAATTAGGATAATATACAATTATTAATAAAATAAAAACAACAAATTATTTGTACAGTATTTAAGTTTTTTACAAAGTTACACCTACCAGATACAGAGTGTTTGTAAATATGAGCGAAATATGTTAGGGGATGGTTGACGAAGTTATTTTGTCAAAAAAAGTTCTTATAAACATAGGTCGAAATATTCTTCGTTTCCGAGATACATAGTATTTAAATTTAAATTTTCTATTTATTTTTATGAATTATTTCAAAGAATTTTAAAGATATTGACTTGGAATTTGAAAAACGCTTTGTAGGGATAAATGTGTTTTTTGAGGTGATCCGAATATTTCTACTTGCACCTTTAAATAAAAGATTAGCAAAACCTACAATAAAATACACCATGCCAGAAATCATAACACAAAGTGAGGTACTTTTACAATTAACAAAGGACTGGCTTTCAATGAATGGTCTCATCATGAATAATGATAAAACTCAACTAGTACGTTTTTCATCAAGTTACTGGCAAATAAACAGACCTAACAATATCATACTGGACAATCAGATAGCAGAATTAGCAAGTAGTACAAAATTTCTAGGACTGCGTCTAGATCAGGGGTCGGCAAGTAATTTTAAGTGGGGTCCGGATACTTTTGAAAATTTTTAACGCGGTCCAAAAAAAAATTCAAATTATTTTTTTATTTTAATTTGGACTCAAATTTAATCTGCTTACTAACCATTAAGAACTCACACACTCACACCATTGTAAAATACTAGAAAAAATTATAAGATTGGCACTTAAACCTAAAAAACATTTTTTAAATAATTTATTTGAGTAATTTATACTTTCAAAAAATTTTGGCGGTCCAGTATTTTACCTTCCGTGGTCCGGACCTGGACCGCGGTCCGCCAGTTGCCGACCCTTGATCTAGATGAACACTTAAATTGGAAAAAACATATAGATGAACTCGCTGCTAAATTAAGTAAAGTAATATATGGAATCAGGGTAATTAGTAAATATGTAAATAGTACATCTACAAAAATCATTTACTTTGGTAGTTTCGAATCTACTTGTAAATATGGAATTATGTTTTGGGGTAATAGCACTGACATACAGAAAATTTTTGTCATTCAAAAAAGAATTATAAGAATTATCAATATTATGTCTTACATCCAATCTTGTAGATCGGTATTTAGGAATAGCAAAGTAATGACTATATCGGCTCTGTATATTTTTGAGTGCTTAATGTATGTAAGGAAAAACTGGAATAATTTTATGACAGACTCATCATCTCAGTATAATACTTACAAGAAATTTAAATCTAATGTACCCATATCACAGACTAACTCTAACAGAAAAGAATGCACATTACATGTGTATTAAATTATTCAATTGTTTACCAGCGTCACTTAAACAGATACAGAGTATAAATTTATTCAAAAAACATAATAAACAATTTTTGTTAAATATTGAGCCCTACAATGTAACTGAATATTTGGAACACTGTTTAAACTAACTTAGGGATACTGTTGTGACACCATTTCGCTCTTACATTGTCATTGTAAATGTTAATGTTTTTATGAACTAAAGATTATTATTATTATTATTATTATTAATACATTTTATTTTTTTCCTCAAAAACGGTGTATCCTACGAAAAAAATTAACGAGACCAATTTCATTCAGAATTGATGGCGGATTTCTAAACTAAAAAAATATCAAAACGGAAACAGTGGCATAAGATATTTTTTATTAAATAAGTTTATGGCATTCTCACACGAACGCTACTGGTGCAAGTAGAAATATTTGGATCACCCCAAAAAATGCACATTTATCCCTCCAAAGCAAAACTCTTTCAAATAATTAATAAAAATAAAATTTTTTTTTAATTTAAACACTATCTCNATTGGGATAATATACAATTATTAATAAAATAAAAACAACAAATTATTTGCACAGTATTTAAGTTTTTTACAAAGTTACACCTACCAGATACAGAGTGTTTGTAAATAAGAGCGAAATATGTTAGGGGGTGGTTGACGAAGTTATTTTGTCAAAAAAATACACCTTATAAACATAGGTCGAAATATTCTTTGTTTCCGAAATAGTGTTTAAATTTAAATTTTCTATTTATTTTTATGAATTATTTCAAAGAATTTTAAAGATAATGACTTGAAATTTGAAAAACGCTTTGTAGGGATAAATGTGCATTTTTTGAGGTGATCCGAATATTTCTACTTGCACCTTTAAATAAAAGATTAGCAAAACCTACAATAAAATAAATTTTATTTTTTTCCTCAAAAACAGTGTATCCTACGAAAAAAATTGACGAGACCAATTTCATTCAGAATTGATGGTGGATTTCTAAACTAAAAAAATATCAAAACGGGAACAGTGGCATAAGATATTATTTATTAAATAAGTTTATGGCATTCTCACACGAACGCTACTGGTGCAAGTAGAAATATTTGGATCACCCCAAAAAATGCACATTTATCCCTCCAAAGCAAAACTCTTTCAAATAATTAATAAAAATAAAATTTTTTTTTAATTTAAACACTATCTCGGAAAAAAAAGCATATTTCGACCTACGTTTTATGAACTTTTTTTCACAAAATAACTTCAGCAACCATTCCCTAAAATATTTTGCACTTATTTGCAAACACCCTGTATATCAATACATACGTTATACCTGTATAATTCGCATAGGTTTAAAATCGAGATTTTCAAATATAAAATATTTAGTATAGATATTCAGGTATTCCGCCAAATGATTGATTAAGGTTTAGTTTAGTTACATAATACATATTTTTATAACATAACATGAAAAATAAAAATATCTAATTAGCTGTTACTATGCACAAATTCATTAAATTACTGTGCAACAGAAATTATTTACTTTGTAAATATAATCAAAATACTAAGCATTTAATTGCAAACCAAATAAAAATACGTAATACATTCTCATACATTACAATAATTTTTACTTACTTAATAATTTAAAAATGTATGGTTTTAAAATTTCTTTAGCATTTAATTTTGTGTATGTTATCAAATAAGTATGGTGAGATTGCGTTAAAAATAACTTCACTTCATCGAGTATTACAATCATTATGACTATACGTTTTTTTATAACTTAAAGTGGGAAAAAAATACAGTTTTCATTAATTGTTTATAATACAAAAGTTGCTATGAATTTAATGATTTTTTACGAAGGCCACATTTTAAACTTCCTATTATTGAAATATGACATTCTGAACTGAAAATTGAAGTGAAACACTTTTAGTAGATATGCCTTTTGGTTTTCCAGATATCAAGTTGAGGAATTTTATATGGAACACCCTGAATAAGAATAAAATATTGAAATATACATAGTGTAACCTTAGGTGAGAGTCAGTTTCTTAGAGGTAATAGTTGTGATTCACAAAATACTAATCCATCATTTTTTTTTTAATGAAATAGTCGTTATAATTTATTTTTTAAACTACACATATATACTACATACTATAAATTCACCAAATTTAATTCCCTGAAATAAAGGAGAAAACGTTGCCACCCGTTTTTATTAGACTTATTTCTTTTTAGTTTTCAGTTTCCAAGAAATTGTAATACTGTTGGTAATTTTGCAACCTCCCCTACAAAGTATCAGTTTTAATAGAAATATAAGTTATATAATGCACTGTTGTGTTTTATCAAGACTAATTCTATAACAAAATTTAGCGAAGTGTGTTGCGTAGTATAAGTGTATAGCTTTATAGTTATTTACTTCAGTGTTACAATGTTAGTGTTTTCATTTTTTAATTTCTGTGCGATATTATGAAAAAACATGTATACAAATTAAGAAAGACGAGATTTGACAACAGAGCCTGCACGTAGCTTACGAATGAGTAGGCACTTGCGGCTAGTGAGGTTAAGGTTACATTGTCCAATAGTGAGGAATGAAAATTGTGAAAGAAGTAAAAACAAATTAGTTTTTTTAAACAACTTGACGAAACCAAACATATATTTCTAAAGGTTAAAGATAGCCTCTGTATAAATACGATCCCTATTTAAAATTACACCCTGTATATAGGTACGAAAAAAAGGAGAGTAAAAGTCGAAACAAAAATCTTTAAAAATTAATTATTTTCCGTTATAAGTTTCTTACCTCTGGAAACAAAAGCACTTCTCAAATAAAACTGCTCGCAAGTCTCTTTCGCTTCTCGCAGTTCTTTTTCGCTAACAAATGGCTTATAGTCCTCGTCTATATTATACCCGGCTGCGATTAATTCCTCTGCCGACATCCAGTCTGGCAGACTTTCCGGATACCACACTAACCACTCAAATAGACCTGGCTCTATTTTAATTTTCAACTCGTCTTTCTTATTTATTGCTTCTAGGAATGAGCTGCACGTCTGAATGCACCTAAAGGATGGAGAACAGTACACGTCATCTATAGAAAAATTTTTTTCTAATATTGCTTCGCCAACCTGAAACCATAAAAATATGAGATTACGGTTACCCATACGACATTGTAATTACACTAACCACAGATGCTGTAAATGCCCCCACATTTGTCAACGGAGAGTCCCTTAAATACCCTTTCGGTCCGTCTTTCCGCCTAGGTAATGTCTTTGGCAGGTTTAAGTCCCTCTGTATATAATTTCCAGCCTCATCGTAACAAAACGGCAACCAACTGCCAAATGTAAAGTCTATTCTCTCACCATGCCTCATTATCAAAACATTTCTTCTGTGGTCTGCTCCTTTCATTTCCTAAAAAGAAATAATGTCGAGTCAACTCCAACAGATAAAGATCATAAATTTAGTTTTTTTCCATGTCAATAAATTTTATGATACTTTATTGCAACTCATTTTATTAAGATTATATGCTTATAAATAAAACGATTCAAGGTTACATAAAAAAAATTTCAAGAAAAAAATAGAAGTTATAGATTAGAAAACTTTTAAAAAATGTGGAGGCAATGAAGTTACTATATTTTATTAAGTTGTATATATGTGTCATTTTTACAAAAAAATGGTATTAGCACAATGAAAGTGCATTTAAAATAAGCTGCTTTTTGTGATAGATTTTACTGCTACCAAAAGCACCGTGCCTCACCATGGGGGCAAATTTAAAATATCAAAATACATAATTCCCTTTTAGGTGTAAGGTCCATATAAGACATAAAATCAAGGGACCAATTAAGGGCATACAAAATAAAAGGGGGAATAAATATTTCACTGGACACACTGCGGTGTCCACTTGTTATTGATAGAATTAAAGAAAATTGACAAGACTACAGGAATAAAATTTTCATTCCTGTCAATAATTCAATCCAAAGAGGAAACAATGGTATATTTAAAATAAAATGATCAATGATCTTTATATTAGAGCGTATAAAATAAATGTATGCATCTTTTTTTTAATTCAATTAACAAGGAACACTTAATAACTAAAATATATCTTAGTAATTAATAAGATTAACTAATTTAAGCTTTAACATTGAAACACCATTTTTAAGATAATAATAAATTTGAAAAATATTATATAAATATAAATATGATGCAATTTTGTCTTTATTTGTGGAATATACAGAGGTGTATCTACTAAGGGAAATGAATCTGTTCTTATTGTTGACCACGTGATAATTATATGTCTACCGTTGTGTCTTTGGTTAACTATTAGCGATCTACTCCTTCCAAATATATTTAAGGATGTCTGACAAATAAAGATGCGTAATTAAAAATATACTGTTTTATTTGAACAAGAATGATTAAAATTTTCCATCTATCCTTTAGCGTTGTTACACTTATTACTGAAAATGTTTTCTTTAAAAATTTAGAGTCAGCTGATGCATAGACTGGAGCTAAGCTTTGCGCTCAGAACATAAGTTTACATGTCTTATAGATCACAACTTTGACATAATGCAAAAACCGAGTAGTAATTAGTAAAATATACATTAAGTCGTATTTATATGTGCAATTTTTTTCATGTCATCTGGGTACAATTAGATGACTTAACATTTTTCCATATAAAAATTTTACATTTTTATATGGAAACATTCTTATATCCGCAGTACCTACTCATTTCAGATAAGGATATTAGACATTTTGTAAAATCTGGGCTAAGATTGTTCAAATACTTACCATGTTAAATAATTTTCATTTCAATTCTCTGATTTGTAAAATAGTTATCTCCATAACTTTTTTAAACCAATAAAAATATGTCTATTGAACAAAGTTCTTCTTACATTTTATATATAATTATTTGTATTCATTGAAATAATTATTGACTTCACATAATAATTATGATAATTTAAATTAAACACTTCGATATTTTTGAACTACAAACATTGTATTTTTTATATTGTTTAAGGTTAGGTTATGTTCACTTGTGACATTTGACCATAGACCTTATAAACTACTGGACTACCCAACTGTCATTTTGCCTATATAAACGGCAATCGCTCGGACGTGTGCGAGAGAGATGGAGCTAGTAAGGGCTTAAGCTTCGTTCAAAGCATTTCGACTGCAGCGCGCTACATTCAATTCAACGAATCAGCTAGCTATACTCCATTCCTTAACCCTTTTTTCTGTTGGGGGTCGTATTGAAACGCTTAATAAAAAATAATATAGAGACTAAAAGACAAATAATTTTAATTTTTTCCAGTAGTGTAAGTATGTAAAAGGGTTTAATATTACTGTCCTAATTACAGTACAATATTAGAATTGTTTTAGCTATAATATTGCAAATAGTTTTTATAATGCCTTCTTTATGTATTTGTCCATTTATTTTCCTCATATCGTAAACTCGATCGGTTAAAATTACTGCAAGCTCTTCTGACGTAATTGTTTCAAATATTCCATATTTTCTTGCTTTGCAGAACTGTATAAATTGAAGCTATGTCGATGATTTCTTCGTTCAAGATAATATTTGAAGAGAATTTTTGCTGAAGCACATTATAAGCACATTTCAATTAAAACTTTTTTTATATTCGGTGTGATGTTAAAAAATAATTTGAACACATTTAAAGTGGCAAAATTTTGACATTAAAATGACATTTTATTTTGAGGATGGGGGAAATAATATAATCTAATAAGTTATCATCAGACAACTCTACTTGGTCATTATTTTCAGAAAGATGCGAAAAGTATAAACATGTTGGTATCATCATAACTTCTTTCCTACCTATGAAATTTAATTTCTTCTCCACTTAAACATCTCTCTACACAATTTATCGCAGAACACAATTGTACCATATTTAGTTACGAATATTTCACATACACTAACTAAATCACACAAAAATTCAAGAAATCAATCAATAATGTCAGTACATTTACTTCAAAGTTTGTTTATGGCACTTTGTACTGGTATACCCGTGTACCATCATTTGTTTTACTGGTATTTGCCTCAACTAGCTTCATCTGCCTTGCACACATCAGCGCGATTGACCTCTCTTTCTAGGGCCAGTCCATAGTTTACTAGGTCAATGCATTTGACGATCAGGATGATATATGATAGTGCCAAATTCAAATTATTGTAGATTCCGAGCAAAAATACTAATAATATGTTTTAATTAATAAGAAATTACATACCTCATCCTCATTTTTCTTTTTCTTAATAGCTAAAAGGTTTTCATACAAATTCTCCTCACCATCACCTCTTGCTTTCTCTTCAGCTTCAGCGATCCAATTTTCAAAATCAGGAGGTAAAGTCGGTTCTTTTATTTCGTGGTTGTTAAACACGGAATGGTCTTTACTGTTATTCGTTTGTACTTGGGTGGGTTTCTGTGGGGAATGTTTTGCTTCAGGTATGTGTGTCAAAGAAATTTTCTTGTGTAGTGTCCACGCGTCCGTCTCTGCAGTTCTTTGAGTGTAACTCTCCGGTAGTAACCCTGAGAGACCCGTTAACCACGATATGCCATCCACCCAGCCGTCGGGTGAATTAGATAATGCTTCGCTACTTATGTATACGTAGTCGCCCGATCTAAGATCAAGTTCATCTGATTCTGTTGGAGTATAAGTGTGAATTACCTAAAAACCAGATCACTAGTAGAAGAATAAATATTTGTTATATAAATAGCCTTACCTTATGTACTTGTTTACTGTTAATACGAGGGTCTCTAGAATACAGTCGGATTTCCCATTCACATGGCACTTGAGGGTCCAATACCTCAACTAAGGACTTTAGATTAGTAAATTGTGAGCTCGGAAACTGGTACGCCAGTGATAAATGCAACGATTTTACATGTGGTTCCACGCTTATTGCTAAAAATGGAATTTGAGAAACAAATTAGAATATTTAACAATGAGGTATGGAAATAAGTTAGTAAATTTGAAAATGGATAAATACGGAAATGTGATCAAATTTAAAAAAAAACAAACTGCAGCAATTTAACACATTGACACAGAATAAAAAATGTTTTCTCAGTAGTAGAAAGTTACCTATAAATTTTCTGGAAAATAACAACTTCTTATACGGTATACAGAGTGTTAACTGTACTGTATTTAACACCAACAAACTTTAAAAAAACAATTCTTTGAGTGATTTTAAACTAAAGAGGTTTTATAAATGGGTCTACAAATCCATAATTTTCAAGATCTGTATCTCAAAAATTAATAAAATTTTGTTTTTTCTAAAATATTCAGATGCTTGATGCAAAATCATAAACTTAAGGCAAAATTCCACAGAAATCATGTAAATACAGGTACCAGTGGCAGAGGTACCAGAATTTACATTCACTGAAAATTTTTTGAGAATTTGATCATTACCTTTAACTTCTAGTGGCTACTTAAACAAAAGAGATATAATTTATTTAGTTTAAAAAACAAACCATTTTCAGTTAATTACTTTTTATTTTCATTAACACGTTAACAGCCAACAACTTCTTGGTATATTTGTTCACCGGGCCAATTTTTTTTTTTCGTTTTTTTAAGGTGATTTTGAGTTGAACCGCTGCGGCCCAGTACGAACATTTGTATCGCCGAATCAGAGCGGTCCTATCACATTTTTTTTTTTAAATTTAAATCTCGAAAAATGTTGATTTGTGAACTCATGTTTATATTACTTTTTTGGTTTAAAATCACTCGAAGATAAAGTTCATCGACATACTTAATTAACACTCTATATACAAGTAAATAGGTAGCTAAATCAATATTAAGAATAATAGTCAAAATAAAAACACAGGACGTAATTCAACAGCATGTCAAAAATGAAGGAGCATATTCAAATTTAAGAATATTTTCTTAAACTTGCCTCATTTTTGAGATACAAGATTAAAACATATAACAGAGTGGTTCTATATTGTTCCTCAATACTTTTAACATATACATATAGTATATGAAATGACAAGGATATATTTTTATATCAATTGTTTCCCCAAAATAGAAAACATAGGACATACTCCATTATGACGGATAGTAGATCGTGTATCTTTTGTGGTCTTTCAAGATATTTTAATTATATGAGTTAGATATAGAGAAACTAATTTATGCAGTATTATTAGTATAAAAGTTGATTTGTATTTTATTTCAAATTTACTGAGATAAAAGTATCTAAGTACAACTAATCAACTTCTAACATTAATATGTAGTTATAGATAACTAATATGATGAGAATACCACTGCCAGTTAAAATCGACGAAGTTTAAATGTATGGAATTAATGGTTTTCAGAACTTTTATGTCCTCTGTCCCCCTATGATTCAGAACTATAAATTGCAAACTATACTTTATAATTTAGTTAAGTAAAAATTACCTCCCTTTTTGTTATCACTGTTTTTGATCGAAATATCTAAAACAGAGCAATAAAAGTTGTACGAAACAATTTAAATTTTTAATAACCTTGCCAAAACATTGAACTGATATATTTGAAAAAAAAAAAACGAAATTTTGGAAATCCGTTTTTATTTGATTTCAGCCTTGTTTGATATTGAAAAAAGAAGAACACTTTCTCATGGCCACTTTTTGACCCCTATCGAATAATATAATTAATTTTTATATGTAACGTTTCGTCTGTCCAGGACCATCATCAACTTCATTTTTTTAAATACCACCCAATTTTATTACATTTTTTGCAAGTTTACATGACCCCCAATACTGTACTGCCTCAGCACGAACCAGATTCAAACGTTTTGAATTATCATACACTGTAAGTGTCGTTAGATCCTGTGAAATCCATTTAGTTCCATCAGTGTACAATAATTCAATAAACAAAGAAATTTAAATAAAAACTTTAGATAAATTTGGAACGAATACACTGAAGATGAATTTTCGAGACAAAATGTCTGAATCTGCTTCGGGCTGAGGTAGTACAGTATTGGGTGACAAAAAAGCTTGCAAAAAATGTAATAAAATTTCCAGGATGATATTTAAAAAAATGAAGTTGATGATGGTCCTTGAGAGATGAAACGTTACATATATAAATTGATTATACCATTTGATAAAGGGCAAAAAGTGGCCATGAGAAAGTGTTGTTCTTTTTTAAATATCACCCTAAACAAGGCTGAAATGAAACAAAAACGGATTTCTACTTCGTATCTCTTACCGTTTCCGAGATCACTGTAGTGAGAAGCTAATTTGTAACAGCCTATATAGGGCTAATATACGAGGCATATCCACAAAGAATACTTAATTTTTTAAAAATCGAAACGGCAGTATATTTATGAAAAATTTACATATTCATAAAAGGTACATCAAACACTATATTTCGACGTAGTCGCCTTCAACTTAATGCGATTTGTAAGCCGAGGTCAAAAAAAATCTCCCGTCGCCTCTTGGACCCATTGTTTCACGGCACTATGGACCTTATCGTGGGTAGATGAAAATCAGAAGGTGCCAGGTCAGGACCATGAGCGGGGTAGTTGATAATGTTCCAACCGAATGAATCCAAGAGTTGTTTTGTGACATTAGCTCTGTGGGCATGTGCATTGTCTTGCAACAAGCACACTCCCTTCGTTAATATTCCCTTTTTTTGTTCTGTACCGCCCTCCTTAGTATTTTCAGGGTTTCATAGTACCACATTGGATTAATCCTTTCCCTGGGGCAAAAAGTCAATGAGGATCATTGCTTTTACAATCCCAAAACACAGTTCTCATGATTTTTCTCCTATATTCATCATGAACATTCTGTCAGCTTTATAATCATGAGATCACTTGACACATTAGTAACGACTCACCACACCATCCCCATAAACAGTTTTGATTTAGTTAATAATCTGGAATGGCTTAAGCTCGTCACCTAGCAACTGGCGGGATTTGGAATAGCGGCACTCATTTCAACATGCCATTACAACAACAGTTCTCAACTGACTGAGACAAAGTGCATTCTACTCCCAACACCAATGCTGTGTTTGTGTGCTGTGAACGTTGTCGAAAACAAAAACCACAGAGCATCAGTCTCGGTCCTCTTACTTTATGGATACGCCACGTATATTATTTTAAATTGTCCCCGTATATTTTTATATATGTTAATAGAATTTTTTCAGCAAATCAGTATTTCCTTAATAATGTATTCGCATAAGGCAATTTCTGTGTGACCAGTTTATCGTTCTATTTGGTATATTTAAATGGCTAAGATCTCGCATAAGTAAGCAGTTAAACATATGATTTAAGTAAGCCACGTAACTGTTTTATATAAATCAATATCGTGTCAAAACTAATAGAAAATATCACCTGATTTTGTTACTAAAGCAAACAACTTGGTAGACAATGAATTATGATTACGCACTATCAATAAACAAAAATATATACTAGTATCCAGTTCGTAAATGTGTATTTGAATAACATGAGTATTATGTAGAAAATAAATTCAATAGGCCTCTTGCACATGCCGGATTTTTTATATTGGTTCACATATTTAAATATGGTCTTATTTAAAATTATTAATTATAAAATCTCTTGTGACAAATTCTACTCAAAAATTGACTAAATTAATTGTACGTTGAAATTTGGAGATGGAGCATCCTGTAAGGGCGTGTCGTAGAACGAGTTGCTATTGGTGCGACGTCATCGGTAAGTAAACTGGCCGCTTCACATTAGAAAACGATGTCGGTCCTATTACTTCTTACAAACATTTATTATTTTTAGTTTACAATAGTTTACATACGATACGATAACGATACTGATGTGCTGTTATATTTATTAACTGGTTTCCATTCTATTATGTAGGTATACCTAAATATGCACCTATGTAGCAAAATAATTAAGTCTGTGTAGGTATAATATTTAATTTTAACGACGTTTAGTTCAAGTGAACTTTCCTTTGGTAGCATAATATTATTTACTACCT